CGGCCTGACACAGTGGGAGAGGGAAGACGAGGCTGGGGGGAGGGGCTGAGGTGGGGGGGGGTCTTACCGTCCGTCTCGACTCACCGCCCAGGCTCCATTGTACGTGACGGACAAGAGGGTTCTTTGTCAGAGCGAATCTGCAGCAGGAACCAGGACGTGACGGCCGTCGTCTTTGACTTTTTTCTTTTTTGATTTTTAAAACCCAGTTGTACTACACTACTACTTATTGGTACTCCTCTCATTGCGTATTTGCCGTGTACTTTTACTTCAAACTCCTGACCGGCAGCCGCTGCAGCTCCTCCGTGTTCCTGTGCTTTTTCCAAACAATTTACAACTACTGGAAACATGAGTTCCTTCACAGGGACTCATTCTTTCCGAGGAACCGTTGACCACACACAGTGTGTGGAAATAGAACCGTCTGTCCTGGTTGGAGTTTGGCTCAACATTTGGGTCGTGTCTGTAACGATGGCGTTTTTCTCTCTTTTTCAGATCATGCCCCCAAGATAGCGACCTGAGCATCCTCTCCGCTCCCCCCCCTCCCCGCCCTGGGCCCCCTCCTCCTCCCATTTCCTGGTCCAGCACCACCACTGCCACCTGGGTCACCGCAGCCGCCATGCCCCCCAGGAAGAGGACTCGGCCCGGCCTGGGCCTCCTGTGCTGCTTTGGCAGCAGTGAGCCTCCTGAGATCAACCTGAAGGACAGCGTGCCGCTGCAGCTGCTGGAGTTCAGCGCCCCCATGCCACCAGCAGAGGAGCTGCATGCACGTTTTTCTGAACTTGTTGTGAGTACATTTGATCAAATCTGTCATCGGTCAGAATTTAGAGCCGCTAAAGTCCAGATTTGTGGGCAGCTGCTGTCGGACAGATGCATTACGTGTCCAGCTGGGTGTGCTGTCGTTGCCTTCTGTTGACCGTAAACTTTTAAAGTACTATTGGCCATGAATAATACCTTAGATAAAGGTGTACTTTGATTGAGTTTTCATGAACTTCCTGCTCAGTTTCTCCGGTTCTGTTTGGTTTTCAAATGTTCTTTTTAGCTGAAACGGCTCATGTTGACAGCAGGGCGTGGCCGTTCCTCCAACTCCACCACCAACACCGGGTTCAGAACCTCCAGAACCCGTCTTTCCGTCTCTCCCTCTCCACACGGCCCGGCCGTTTCCTGAACTTTCCGTCCTTTGAACAGATCCTTCTTGTTAGCGAAGGTTGTCGCTCTGTTCCAGTGCCAAACTGGCACGGCTGCGTTGGCACGTGTCCACGGTGTGAAGGGATCGGGGCCCAGCTGTCAAAATGAAGAAGTGTTCTGTGGGCTTCAGCTGTGGTGCACGTCAGTCCGGTCCAGCTCTGCCTGGAAGTCCACGGCCGAGCAGACGATTCCCGGTTGTTTCTGCTTCTCTTTCCTTCTCCACCGTTGGCAAAGGCCCCTGTCGTGGTCGAGCTCCTTGGTTTGATGATAACTCGTTGTTCTTAACTTCAGGAGGTGACGTTGGGATAAACTCATCACTGATTGGATGTTGGATATTAAACTGCGTGTTGTCGCGCCCTTTCCTTTGATTGTGTGCGGTGTGTGTGTGTGTGCAGCTCACAGAACCGTGTCTTTCAGGAGGCGGAGCTACGTCCAATGACAGCAGTCCTGACGGGTGATTGGCTCAATGACCCACGGTTTACTTAGCGGTAAATATTAGAGCGTGCGACGAAAAGTACGAAGACAACAGGGGTCGTGGAGGTCGACTTGGATCTGGACGGTGTCACGTGTTGTGAATATATTTCTGTGGGTTGTTGTTGGATGTTCCATCCGACAGTGTCGTTCTATCGTCGTCGTTATAGAGAACGACGTCTCTGTTTGGTTCTGGTCGCATTAACAGAAGTTTTCAAAGTAAAGGCTCGTCAACGTTGTTCCCATATTTGAGTCAGGCTGTAGTTGGACCTCGGGCTTTGGTGCCATCTGGTGGTGACTGAACTGACCTTGTATGATCAGGTCATGTTTGATGACGGGACTCAAAAACATAAGACAGTAGTTCAGGGATTTGACATAATGATGATGATGGTCCTCTGGCCAACGCCCCCCCCGACACCCTCCATGCCCCCCCCACGTCTTCACATCTGTTTTACTGATTCTGCGGCCGCCGTGTTGACACTTTAGACCAGAAATCCAAATATCTGTTCAACCAGACCTTGAACAGTCTGCTGTCACAGGGAGGGAGGCACAGACCTCCACCACTGGGGGGGGGGGGGTATTTCCATTGAAATGGGAGATTGGGATTATTGTCCAGAAAGTCGTTCCAGAGCAGAAGGAGTCTGTGTCGTGGGCCACATCTCCAGTCGGGCCAGAAATGTGAAAATGATGGCGGTCACCATGGCAACAGCACTGATGCCACTATAGAAGCATATATTACGTTGACCTTCTGTGTCTTTAAAAATACAGACAGCAACAGGACAGTGTATAAAAAGAAGCTCTGGCCCTGAGACAGAAATGACTCCTGAAATAAGTCAGAGGTCGACCACTAGGGGGAAAAAAAAGAGGAGCCTTTCAGGATCCATAGTGTAGCAGCTGTACGAACAAAGGTCGGAACCAACGCCTCGTACGGAAGCATCATTTCCTGGTGAAGGAATTTGGGGAAAAAAACACCTCAATATATCATCGTGACTGTCGTATCACAGTATATCGCAATATATTGTAACGGTACACCCGTATCGTGATATGTATCGTAACTTATTAATACCAATCCTTATACTTATATGATACTATTAAAATTAATATAGATTTTAATGAATTAAAAGGACAACACTATAAAGCTGTTACAGTACTGTTATATATTTGTTATATATTTGTTATATATTTCCTCTCCTTCACTGCCTCTTTATATGGATCGCGGTGTTGTTCGGTGACAACAGCGTCTTTGGACCTGGTTGTTGTTGTTGTTGTTGCTGCTCTTGTTGTTGTTGCTGCTCTTGTTGTTGTTGTTGTTGTTGCTGCTGCTGTTGTTGCTGTTGTTGTTGCTGTTGTTGTTGTTGTTGCTGTTGCTGTTGTTCAGTAAATGTGATAATCAGGTAATAGTTCTGTTCTCCCAGTAACTCCGGTTAAATTTGTCCGTCCAGGTTTGAAACCTGAACCCGTGTTTCCAGGAAACTCTTAAAACCCCAAACCCCCCCAAATGCCCCCCCCCCCGCCCCCCCCCCCTCCTAACAAATCAAACGTGTGTTACATAACGAGAGGGAATGGAACTGTTCTCCACCCACTGACGCCGAGGTTCCTCCACTGACGCTCTGGGATTCTCTCTCGTTTGTTCATCTGGCATTTCCTCTGCATTTTTCCCTCCTCCTCAACACAAAGAAGTAAAAACAAGTACCGGCTCCTGTGACTGTTCAGACCGTTGGTCGGATGAACGAAGCAGCAGGATAATAAAAGCTTCCTGTTGGTCCCCCGGAGGCTGCGTACGACTTCCTGTCATCTCGCCCGTCATTCTTCTGCCTTCCTGTCAAGTCCACAGACGTGTGTGTCTGTGTGTCTGTCTGTCTGTGTGTGTGTCTGTGTGTCTGTCTGCGTGTGTCTGTGTGTCTGTGTGTCTGTCTGCGTGTGTCTGCGTGTGTCTGTGTAGTCCAACTCTGGACCATCTCCATTGATCTGCTTTGGTTAAACTGGTCAAACTGGTCTGGTCTGGTTGACCTGGTTAACTGTTAATATATGAAACAACAACAGAAGAAGAAGAAGAGAAACAACAGGAAGTGGAAAGAGTTCCACTGGAGAACACTGTTGGTGTCTGTGGAACACGTTCTTCCCACGTTCTGGTCCAACACCTGAACGTCTCTCAGCCTACGTAGAGACCTGACGTCTGGGTTTGATAGTGGGTTTTTAGGAGCACACTGCCACCTAGTGGACTAGAGTGTGTAGTGTCATGGTCTGACCAGTGATGGACCATTCAGTTTTGATTTCAACCAATGAGAGTTGTCAGGGATTTGCATCGATTTTAATCTATTCACGATGCGTCGTTACATTGCTAACCCTGACTGGAAACGCTGCTTCAGAGATAAACTAGTACTGCAGTAGCTCAGCCCGAGTCAGTTTTCACCTGTCGTTCAGACGGTCTCAGCTACAAATCCATTTGAATCTACAGTCGGTTAAAAGAAAAGGAAATGTCAGGATATTTCAGTGGATGGATATTGATCAAAGTTAGAGTTGATGTCAGGGATTCATTCTGTTTGTGCTACTGCGATTCAGTCAACATTCGTTCGGGCCGTCCTCGATCACATTAGTAGTAATTATAAATATTTGGTATATTTGGTATGGCCTGCGTATCATCCTCCACACTGTTTTCTACACATCCTCAGTGGATTCAAATGTGAGTTCTTGTTCAGAGAACATCACGGCCGACGACCCCAGGACCTTCAATACCGCCTTAAAATGTGTAATAATATCGGATAGACAGGGCTGTGGAAAATATTCCGGGGCGATTCAGGAGCCTGAGGTATGCGTGTTTAATTCACCGAGGAGCAGGTGGAACAATATTAGCTTTGGTTTATGTGGAATTCCAACTGGAGCGTGATGTCGGAGAAAGAAAGACGGGGGCACGACGAAGGACGGTTTTGTACCGCAGAGTGGTTGTGTTTGGTTTTTTGGATGTCTGAGAGAAGGGTATTATAAAGTCATGAGGAGAGGCCATGTGATGTGGATGAAGTGTCGGAGCATATTTGGAATTTTAGGGATTGAAGGAAAGAGGCCGGATGAGACGAAACTTCGATGGGAATCGTCGAGAAAATCCATTCACCCAGCCGCCGTTTTTAATGTATAAAGTTTAAGAAGTTTAAGAACAAAAACATTCACTTTAACTTTACTGAAAGTTCGCGATGACCGATAACATTGGCCCGTTTTTAGGGAAAAACTACTGTACATGACAGTGAAAGTCACTAGATGGCAGCATTGCAGCTCAATTTCTGAATCTGTTTTGATAATCGGGGGGTTGTGTGAAGAACAATACAGTGAAAAACTCATACAGTGGTTGATGGGGTGTCCCCCCCTAGAGGAGCATGGTGGAAAATGACAAGGGGGGATGAGAGGGAGAGAGGAAGAGAGAGAGACTTTGACTTGGACTGAGGTCCATCCATGAGTTCAAAGGTTTGATGAAGACCATCTGATGAAGACCTTTGTCACAGATGAANACGGGGGGTGAGCGATGATGTCATCCTTTCTACTGTTGGACATTTGGAATGCGGGTTTAAAAAAGCTGTGGTTAAACTAGCGGCTCCGAGGGGCCCGGTGGGGGGCCTCGGGGCCTCGGCACTCCGGCCTGACGTCATGGAGCCCAGACCATTATGACTGTGGATCAGTGTGAACCCGTGGACAAAGCCGTGGTGCCGCAGCCTGTGGTCGTCGTCTCCTCGGTCCAGGACTTCACAGCTTCTTTTCTCTGCTTCCAAACACTTGTCTTCCTCCAACACTGATTTTTCCGTCTCTCTTTTCCAACAATATACGTTTCTGGCACGGAGCTCCTCGTGTCCGGAGTTCATATGCATTTGAAAAGGTGTGGGTGGAGCCGAGGAGGAACTGAGGACGGAGCCGGGAGAATATCAAAACACTGATTTGTATTCAGTGAAGAGCAGCTCCACAGGGTGTGAGGGAGGGGTGAGGGAGGGGTGAGGGAGGGGTGAGGGAGGGCGGCCGAGTGAGGTCATTACTTCCTCTTAACTTTGATATTTAAGTGACACAAAGCCGTTTCACCTCCACGTCGTTTGTCATTCTGTTAACTCTAGATCTAGATCTGAACTCTGTGATCGCTCATGATACATAGACAGACATTTGATTTTCACATTCCTGTAAATCCACGGCCCTTTGTATTCATTCATAGCAACACAATCAGCCAAACCGGTTTGTGGCAGCAGGTTTTTGGTTGTAACTTTTCCTGATACGACACGACCGGTGTTTCAGCTGCGACTGTTGACTCGCTCCTGCCTTTCACAGAACGCCCTCGCGATCTGATCGAGGACGTCCAGGCCACACCTGCCGTTATTATCGTACATCACTGAGTCCGACTTTGGCCCAGTGATGCCTCAGGTGTGACCTTATGATCAATAAAGGTCAAAAACTGTACAACTGTACTGACACTGAAGGTTGCAGGATTAGGTAGAGATCACATAAATTATATATTATATTTGTATGTTTTAATTTCACAGAGTTATTGACACCTTGGCTGTTCTAGTGTTAAAGTTGTAAATATGGATGTGTTGAAGGAACTCTTCATGACCTCATGACCTCATGACCTCTGTGTTGTTGTTGTTGTAGGATGAACTGGACCTGACGGACAAGAACAGGGAGGCCATGTTTGCTCTGCCCGATGAGAAGAAATGGCAAATTTACTGCAGCAAGAAAAAGGTGAGTGTCCTGACGCCCCCCCCTCCCCCTTCATTTAGTCATGTGACCTTTGATACTGCTAAAGGTCAAAGACATCGGTGGTTTTTCACCGTCCAACAGAGACATATTTGGACATTACATTTGTCACTTGTTGAATCCTGTGGTTGTGATTGGACCGTAGTTAAACTACACCTGGAGCTGGGAGACGTTTTCACAGGTGCTACTGGTCACATCTGTAC